GGGGGGGGGGGGGGGGTCATGTCCCCCCCGTCCCCAGTAAAAGTTGCACCCCTGGGTTTAAGTATAACTTTAGTATGACTGAAGCTTTTAGTGAGAGGTTTAATGCTTTAATATTTAATAATTGTATCCCCCAAACTCATATTCATTATATAAATAAGCTAGTTTAATTTTGTCTGGCTTACCATTCCAAATAAAGATTAATATTTTTTTGCTCATATACACTGAACAAAAATGTAAATGCAACATGTAAAGTGTTGGTCCCATGTTTCATGAGCTGAAATAAAAGATCCCAGAAATGTTCCATACACACAAAAAGCTTATTTCTCTACAATTTTGTGCACAAATTTGTTTACATCCCTGTTAGCATTTCTCCTTTGCCAAGATAATCCATCCACCTGACAGGTGTGGCATATCAAGAAGCTGATTAAACAGCATGATCATTACACAGGTGCACCTTGTGCTGGGGACTGGTCCCCTGTAGCTCAGTTGGTAGAGCATGGCGCTTGCAACGCCAGGGTTGTGGGTTCGTTTCCCAAGGGGGGCCAGTATGAAAAATGTATGCACTCACTAACTGTAAGTCGCTCTGGATAAGAGCGTCTGCTAAATGACTAAAATGTAAATGTAAAATGTGTAGTTTTGTCACACAACACAATACCACAGATGTCTCAAGTTTTGAGGGAGTGTGTAATTGGCATGCTGACTGCAGGAATGTCCACCAGAGCTGTTGGCAGAGAATTGAATGTTCATTTCTCTACCATAAGCTACCTCCAACGTCGTTTTAGAGAATTTGTCAGTACGTCCAACCGGCCTCACAACCGCAGACCATGTGTATGGCGTTGTGTGGGCGAGCAGTTTGCTGATGTCAACATTGTGAACAGAGTGCCCCATGGTGGGGTTATGGAATAGGCAGGCATAAGCTACGGACAACGAACACAATTGCATTTTATCAATTGGCAATTTGAATGCACCAAAATACCACAACGAGATCCTGAGGCCCATTTTTTTTTTAAGGTATATGTTACCAACAGATACATATCTTTATTCCCAGTCATGTGAAATCCATATATGAGGGCCTAATGAATGTATTTCAATTGACTAATTTCCTCATATGAACTGTAACTCTATAAAATCTTTGAAATTGTTGCGTTTATATTTTTGTTCAGTTTAATTTGAAAAACGAGTCGTCTGGAGTAGGCTGCGACATAAGTAAATAAGTAAACTGTGATATGACTAAAGCATTAATCAGTGCTATTTTGCCTAAATAGACAGGTATTTACCTCGCCATGGTTGAAAGATCTTGTCTATTTTTTATTTTTTTTGTTCCTTGCTGTAGAAGGAGCAGGCTGGCCACAGATGGTGTCTCAGCTGCATTAGATCCTACTGCTTGACATCCTGCTGTCTGACAACAGAATCATACTCAGACTCAGAAAGGAAGGACAGTGTCAGATTGAGACAGAGGGAAAGATGTAGACCTATGAAGCTGATTATCTCGCTGTCAGTTCAGTTGTCAGTGGTGTTGAGCATATGTCTCAGGTGACTCTCTCTCATGGAGCCCAGGGATGGGTGTGGCTGCATACTCTGAAAGCATAGGCTTCTGCTCCCCTCTCTATGGTAGTGCTCTGTGGTAGAGGTCTTCACGGGTCCAAAAAGTTGGACCCCGTTCCGAAATGGACCTGGGGCTTTCCCACCCGGACCCGATATGCATAAATACATTTTTTAAATACAGTGAGGGAAAAAAGTATTTGATCCCCTGCTGATTTTGTACGTTTGCCCACTGACAAAGACATGATCAGTCTATAATTTTAATGGTAGGTTTATTTGAACAGTGAGAGACAGAATAACAACAAAGAAATCCAGAAAAACGCATGTCAAAAATGTTATAAATTGATTTGCATTTTAATGAGGGAAATAAGTATTTGACCCCTCTGCAAAACATGACTTAGTACTTGGTGGCAAAACCCTTGTTGGCAATCACAGAGGTCAGACGTTTCTTGTACTTGGCCACCAGGTTTGCACACATCTCAGGAGGGATTTTGTTCCCCTCCTCTTTGCAGATCTTCTCCAAGTCATTAAGGTTTCGAGGCTGACGTTTGGCAACTCGAACCTTCAGCTCCCTCCACAGATTTCCTATGGGATTAAGGTCTGGAGACTGGCTAGGCCACTCCAGGACCTTAATGTGCTTCTTCTTGAGCCACTCCTTTGTTGCCTTGGCCGTGTGTTTTGGGTCATTGTCATGCTGGAATACCCATCCACGACCCATTTTCAATGCCCTGGCTGAGGGAAGGAGGTTCTCACCGAAGATTTGACGGTACATGGCACCGTCCATCGTCCCTTTGATGCGGTGAAGTTGTCCTGTCCCCTTAGCAGAAAAACACCCCCAAAGCATAATGTTTCCACCTCCATGTTTGACGGTGGGGATGGTGTTCTTGGGGTCATAGGCAGCATTCCTCCTCCTCCAAACACGGCGAGTTGAGTTGATGCCAAAGAGCTTGATTTTGGTCTCATCTGACCACAACACTTTCACCCAGTTCTCCTCTGAATCATTTAGATGTTCATTGGCAAACTTCAGACGGCCCTGTATATGTGCTTTCTTGAGCAGGGGGATCTTGCGGGCGCTGTAGGATTTCAGTCCTTCACGGCGTAGTGTGTTACCAATTGTTTTCTTGGTGACTATGGTCCCAGCTGCCTTGAGATCATTGACAAGATCCTCCCGTGTAGTTCTGGGCTGATTCCTCACCATTCTCATGATCATTGCAACTCCACGAGGTGAGATCTTGCATGGAGCCCCAGGCCGAGGGAGATTGACAGTTATTTTGTGTTTCTTCCATTTGCGAATAATCGCACCAACTGTTGTCACCTTCTCACCATACTGCTTGGCGATGGTCTTGTAGCCCATTCCAGCCTTGTGTAGGTCTACAATCTTGTCCCTGACATCCTTGGAGAGCTCTTTGGTCTTGGCCATGGTGGAGAGTTTGGAATCTGATTGATTGATTGCTTCTGTGGACAGGTGTCTTTTATACAGGTAACAAACTGAGATTAGGAGCACTCCCTTTAAGAGTGTGCTCCTAATCTAGGCTCGTTACCTGTATAAAAGACACCTGGGAGCCAGAAATCTTTCTGATTGAGAGGGGGTCAAATACTTATTTCCCTCATTAAAATGCAAATCAATTTATAACATTTTTGACATGCGTTTTCTGGATTTATTTGTTGTTATTCTGTCTCTCACTGTTCAAATAAACCTACCATTAAAATTATAGACTGATAATTTCTTTGTCAGTGGGCAAACGTACAAAATCAGCAGGGGATCAAATACTTTTTTCCCTCACTGTATAGAGACCCGCGAGAGGAGGAAGAGAGGTGCCGCTCTAGCAGGCAGGGAGGGGCCGTACTGTGTGCGAGTGACACGGGGAGGAGGGAGCGAGAGACCGCAACCAACCAAGCGGACTCACGCTATAGTAGACTAATAGCTGCCATAGCTAGGTTATTTATCATCAAATACGATTTACGTAGTACCTTTCTTGGACTGCATCAAACCGGGAGAAGCTAGTTAAGCTAGCTAACGTTAGCTAGCTAGGCTAACTGAGGCGGCAGTGCATGCGCTTTCTAATCCTACAGTTGCAAATAACAACTTCATTCAGAATATTAAGGAGCAGCCTACCTGTTGGCTCTTAATCGTTGAAGCCAATCCTTCTACTTTAACTGTTAATTGCATCATTTAAATTCCATCTTCCATTGATTAAATATCTCCAAATTTTTGCCACACACCGAGCGAGGCTCTATGACAGTAGCCTATTCCTGCTTTGATGACTGATGATTGGCCAACTACAAGCTACACGCTCCACTCTGGTGAAAAGCAAGAGCAGCAGCATAAATTATAAAATGTCTCTCTCTATATACTGCAGCAGTCTCTTTGGTCTCTGGCCCTTCCGGACAAGTCAGTTAAAATTACACATACCCGTGACAATCAGATCAGATCCGACCCAGACCCGTGACATTATTTAGAATTCTGGATCCGGGCCCCGCTCGGGTCCCGGATCTGGCCTCTACTCTGTGGTGGTGCTCTGTAGTAGTGAGTGGGAGGGCATCCATACAGGCATGGTTTAAAAGGCTGAGCTCTCATATCCTTCCTGTCTGCATGCTGTCAGGGATGACGCCAATTCATCTACACTGCTATGTGTCCCAAATGGCACCTAGGGCTCTGGTCAAAAGTAGTGCACTAAGGAATAGGGTGCCATTTGGGATGCAGACCACTATGAGAGCAGCTTATTTTATAGGGGAAAATTAGGTGTGAACAAGCTTTTATTGACATTGATTGATTACGTATAGAATCAGTACAGTATCTAGGTAAATGGATTTACTGTATTGTGTACTTTAAAAACCGTTTTGCGCTACAGAAAATATACTTCTGTTGGTACCTTGTCCATGGTGTAGAACTGCAGGGTATTTGTTTCTGTCAGAGGAATGCCTGACCCCCTTTCGCTAATTGTGTTCAAGTGACCTCTTCCTTTGTATACCTCCTGGTCCTAATTTCTGAATGTGTTGAAACCTCCCTCAGTGTAGTACTATGGGTCTGTGGCCGAAATGGGACCCTATTCCCTATTTAGTGCACTACTTTTGACCTAAGCCCTATTGGCCCTGGTCAAAAGTAGTGAATAGGATGCCATTTCAGACACAACCTGGGTTTCTGTTGCATAGGTGTGCTAAATCGACGGAATGGCCATGTTTTATCCAAGACTAATCCACACTGTCAGTCCATTTAGAGTTCCCCCAGGTGGTTTCCAGCCAAAAGTATTGTAATGTGCTATTGCTTCTCACCCACAATAACAGGGAATGAAGCCTGAGACCTGAAGATTTGTGTTAGCTCCTTGAACTGCCTAGGCTTTGTCTCAGCGAGCTAACAAAAATGATAACCAAAAGGCCCTCTCTCAACTCTGGCACACCCCTCCGGGTCAGTTGGCCTACAGCCAGTCTAGCATACTCTCTGTCTGGGTTGCCGCCAGGTCATATCCCGCTGCTGCTGACTAACACCTCAGACCTCTTCTTCATCATCATCATCAGCAGCAGCAGCAGTAGCAGCACCCCCAGGTCTCTGCATCCATCACAGTAGCCCTTTGCCGTATTCGAACATGATGATAAGAAAAAATGATGAATAAATGACACAAGGCAGAGAACATGTTTTTCCTTTTAACACCCCTCATAGCAACTCCTTTGGAGCTTGTCATTGAGATGAATGGGTGATTGTCCAGTTCTGTGGTACATTGTTCTATAATCTACTGGATGGGTCTGGGTCTGCCTGCCAGGGGAAGGGATACAGTAGGGCTGTGTGCATACCAAATGGCACCCTATTCCCTTTAGGGGGGGCCAGTATGAAAACATTTATGAAAAGTTTTGAAGAAGTATGAAAAAATAAAATGTATGCACTCACTAACTGTAAGTCGCTCTGGATAAGAGTGTCTGCTAAATGACTAAAATGTAAAAAATAGTGCACTACTTTTAACCAGGGCCCAGTAGTACACTATACAGGGAATAGGGTGCTGTTTGGGACACAGTAGGCCCCTGCATTCCTGGCATTTTTTATTCAGAATTTACCCCAAAAATGCTTTTCAAGGTACTCCATTTCAGTACAAGGCTATCTTCGAGGGACTTATCTCACTCTTGAGTATGAAGTTGGCTTAGCTTTGTGCTTTGAGTTTATTATATTCTATTATGTAAGGTAGCACCTCTAGTCCAGTTGTTTGAGCATGAAACCCCCATTTCCTGGTTCAGCTGAGGTGCTGTTGAGGTGTTGTTGCCTCTGGAAAAGTGACTCAGTGAGGGCTAGAGTAGTGTTCAATGGTATCAAATGTATATTTTGACACATTGCAGATATTATCATGGAGACTTCTTTCTTTCTTTATGATGCACAGTCCAAGCGAATGGTAGCTATAATGGCTTAAATTAGTATCCTTCAGTACCTTTTTCTCAATCAGGGTAATTTACCATACTATAGCATATGTATAGCATATGAGTGTAACTATCTGTTTGATGTGAGACATGCACGCCCATCCGTAGCTCATATACCCAGGCCGTGATGTAGATATGCTCTGAATCACAAAGCATGAATAATGCTTCAATGTCTCTGTGAGAGTGAAGAGAAACAAACATCAATTTATAAATGAGTACTAGAGGGGAGAGAGGTACCAAAAACAACACATAGGGCTCTGGTCAAAAGTAGTGCACTATGTAGGGAATAGGATGCCATTTTGGACGCAACCTGTAGTGCTTCACTGTTAAGGCTGCTCACTCTTTCATTTCATACAGCCTGTGTGACTGTGTCCCCTGTGTTTTCCAGGAAAGCTATTCATTAGTGTTTTAATTATATTATTATTATTAATCACCATCGGCGGGTAAGAGCCAATTTATCCTCCTCAACACTAGTGTGTGTCCTCTGCTTCCCCTGTCTTTCTATGGAGTCCATCCAAACTATACTGTGCTGGCTTGGATATTTTCTTTTCACATTGTCCTTTCCAGCACACTTCCAGAAACTATTGTGGATGTGTAGTTAACAACGAGGCCAATGCATGGACGAGAGAGAAACGTAGGGTATAAATGTAACCTTTGAAATGATGTGTCATCTCACCCCTACATTTTGGCGCTCAGTTGTAAGTTGCATGTGTTTGTCTACAATGAAATGTTTTCATATTCAACAAGAGGGTGTTTTTCTCTCTCTTGCAAGACATTTGTGTTATAACTTGAGGAACTCCACACTTCTGATCTGACGGGTTAATATTTAAGCTGCGTCTCAAATGACACCCTATTCCCTGTACCAGGGCCCTAAAGAGAATGAAGGAAATAGGATGTCATGTTCAGTAACTGACAGAGTGATTTATTGTTTTTGTTTTCACAGAGCTGAACATGGAGTACAACCCTTCTGACCATCCTCGGGCCAGCACAATATTCCTCAGCAAATCTCAGACGGATGGTGAGTGGCTCTCAATCAATCAATCCAAAATTATGAATCTTTGACATCACTCAACGGGTTCATTTAATATGGACATACCAATAGGCCTTGTACTCCATGTTCAGGCCTTTAGCTAAAACCAGGTCGCCTCCCAAATGGCACTCTATTCCCTACATAGTGCACTACTTTTGACCAGAGCCCTGTGGACCCTGGTCAAAAATAGTGCACTATATAGGGAACAGGGTGCCATTGGGGACATCTACAGGGTTTTTTCCTGACCAAGAAAACGCCCAGGTTTATCAGGGAAAACTCATGGATACTGGCAATACAGTATAACCTCTGGATTATGTTATAAAGTATGATATTCCCAGATCACAAGACCGCTTCCAGGGAACACAGACAGATCAGCTCTGTGTGGTAATGTATGCCTTGCCCAGGGGTGTTTCCCTAGAAGTACTATCAATACCTGCAGCCTCGGGGGATTCTCATCCTATCACACGGTGTGTTTTTAGGTGAATTGACACAATTGTCCAGGATAGAAGCTACATTTGATACATACTATTGTATTAAAGTGAGAGCCAGTGATAGTTGTGTGTTTGAGTTGAACAGGTAAATTAAGTAGATGGCTTTTGGTTGTTTTTCAGTGGAGTTGTCAAGCAAAAATGGTGAGTATTGTATATACACAGTAAGACTCAGACAGAGTGCTTCTGCTTCCCCCTAGCTGTGGAGTAATGTCTGCCTCTAATATTCTCTGTTCATAACCAGTAACCAGCCCTAGCCATAATGAATAATCTCTGATCGTGTGATATTAACCACTTTTTCCTCTTTGTGCACACTTTGATACGCTTCTCACTGTACAGTATGTTGCAAATAACGCATGTAGGGTCCATAGAAGCCTTTCTGTTTCAGTGCAGAATGTCTTGCTGAAACTCTCATCTACCATTGTGCTTTTTTCTATTGCTTACACAATCTCTAGGACAGTGGTATTCAAACTTTTTCAGCGGGGACCCCATTTTGTTTGCCAGAATTTCTGGGGACCCCATTTTCTTCACACAAATTTCATCTCTTATCAACCAATAAATAAATGTACTCAATAACATTTTATTTTTCTAAATGTATCTTGTCCCACAAAATATTCTGTACTCTTAAAAAAAAGTAAAATAATTTTGGCGACCCCACTGCAGTTCGGTCGTGACTTTGAATACCGCTGCTCTAGGACAATGCTGATAACCAAGGATTAAAGCCCTTCTCAATCTTTCTATTTTTTATCTCTGTTTAGTGTGTGAAAAAAGAAAGAGCCTCTTCATGAATTATGTGAGTATTAAATACGTATTAAATATAAATTCAGGCTAATATATTATTTCCTTATATTCCTTATAACGACATGCCCTCTACACATTTCAGTTGAATGCATTCAGTTGTAGAACTGACTAGGGATCCCCCTTTCCTTTCCCTTTACAATTGCAGCAATATAGAGATGTGTATTTGTAATTCTATTTCATTATTGTAGCATGGATCAACTAGAAGAAAACACAGCTCCTGTTCCACCATCTTCCTGGATGACAACACAGTCAGTCAGCCCAATCTTAAATTCACCATTAAATGGTGAGTGTATGTCCCAGTTACGTTTACATGAGTTTACCTATGGGACAGACAAAAAGTACTGGTTATGACAAATGCTTCAACAACTACCCTTCTTTCTTGACAGTGTATCTCTTGCAATATATTACCATATAAAGAACAGGTAAGAATACCCTATCACTTTGAGCAAGCAATGCCTTGAATGGAGAGTTTGGTTGGCTAGTGTAACAGTCCAGTAAAACATTTGACCTTTGACATTTGACCTTTCCTGAATGGCCTGTTTCAGGGACACAGATGGAGGAATGCGGCAAGACATTTTTGACGAGAAGCTTCACCCTCTCTCGGTAACAGCCAAAGCAATCAGTTCCTGTGTTCATATTGACCCACGATGTGTGTGTTTGTGTGTGTGTTTGTGTGTGTGTTTGTGTGTGTGCGTGTATGCCTTTTTGTATGAATCTATAGATTTAGTTTTATACAGTGACCATGTTCATAAAGCCTTCTTCTACTCCCTCAGAAATCTGAAGTGCCGTCTGACTATGACAAACACGACCCCGAGCAGAAACAGATCTACCGCTTCGTCCGGACGCTGTTCAGTGCTGCTCAGCTCACTGCAGAATGTGCCATTGTTACACTGGTAAAGGAGGGGGCTGGTTGACTCCATTGTTTATGTCCCAAATGGCACCCGAACCCATACCCTACATAGTGCACTACTTTTGACCAGGTAGCTTACCAATGGGAAACTTGTTTAGTCAGAGGTGTCATAAAGTAGACCTATATCTTTTTAGAAAAGTTAATTCTTAGCTTGTCGTACACCTTCTCAGACATGGCAGACAGCACTCCTCTCCACCAAGTTATTCTATCCCCTTTAGCCACAGCCTTTTATGTTTGATCAACTAGTGTCCTGTTTGTTGCTGTCTGTCTGTCTATCCTCAGTCAGACACGGGCTTGGAGTGTTCCTGTCTCAGGCTGATCACCATGTGAGTCAGTCTGTCAGAGGCTGCCTAACTAGCCTGTGAGTGCGTCCCAAATGGCACCCTTTTCCCTATTTAGTGCACTTCTTTTGACCAGGGTCCATAGGCTTATATAGGGAATTGGGACGCAGGCCAAATCTGTCAGAAGAAGCCTCCTAACTAGCCTCTGTCTGTGGGCGGCTGGCAGCCAGTTTCAGAGCCTGTGATATTCATTAACGGGAGCAGCAGTGGAGAAGAACTAGGCCAACAGCCAGGGGCCAAAGCCAGTTAGCCACTGAGTCCTCTACTGCATGAACGTAAGAGACCTGGGGCTACTACTCTACTGCCAGAGGAACACACAGACGGTCTGCAGCCAGAGCAGGGCTAACGTCAGCATCACAGAAACACATTTTCCACGCACCAAGTGACATTTCGATGCACCAACGTTGTGGCCTTGTCTTCAATTTACACACATCCTTGTCTTCTCTCGGGAGGTCATCCTGAGAGGGCCCTGGGGGCTGAGGGGGAGCAGGGGGGAGGGAAGGAGGAGGGATGGGGGGCTGAGGTGGGCTGTGTGGGACTAGGGGTGAGGGAGGGGGTGAGGGGGAGTGGGAGTGAGGGAGGGAGGGAGGGTGGAGGGATGGGAGGCTGTGTGGGAGTGAGGGGAGGGATGGGGGGGTGTATGGGATTAGGGGGTAGGTAGGGAGGGAGGAGGAATGGGGGGGCCTGTGTGGGGGTGAGGGTTGGATGGGGGGGCTGAGGGGGGCTGTGTGGGAGTAGGGGTGAGGGAGGGGGTGAGTGGGAGTGAGGGAGGGAGGGAGGGAGGAGGGATGGGAGGCTGTGTGGGAGTAGGGGTGAGGGATGGAAAGAGTGGGTTAAGAGGGAGTTCACGGGAGGTCACTGTATGAATCAAGCTTTAGATACAGGTCAGATTTGCAATATGGGTCTGTGTGTGCCACGCATTATCAGGAGATGAACATACTATTTAGGGAATAAGGTGTTATTTGGGATGCAGACAATATCACAAAGGTAGTTGCCTCAATTACCTCATGACTTTAGTATTAACTTTCCCAGTGTGTTTTTCAGGTGTACGTTGAGAGGCTGCTGACGTATGCAGAGATAGACATTGGCCCAGAGAACTGGAAGCGTATCGTACTGGGAGCCATTCTGCTGGCCTCTAAGGTTTGGGATGACCAGGCTGTTTGGAACGTAGACTACTGCCAGATCCTCAAAGACATCACCGTGGAGGACATGTAAGAAGAAAATAAATCAGGATGTTATTTTCAACAGGGACTCTTCTGCCAGCTAATTTTAGCTGACCTGTTTTGGTGCTCACATTAGAGAGTACACAGTTTTTCTGGAATGCTCAGACTTAAAGCTTTACGGACTTACTGTAGGTCTGACACTGGACCACATTTTGAAATCAAAACCATGTACATTTATGTACAGTACAGTACATTCAACAATTCGTTTTTACACTGATGTTTTGGATATGTGCCCCTAATATGTTGGTGTCGATCTCTAGGACAGTGAGCTGTCTCTGAATGAGTGCCATCAATTGTTGTGAAAAACATATATACTCACTTTTTTCTCAACAGGAACGAGCTGGAGCGTCAGTTTCTGGAGCTTCTGCAGTTCAACATCAACGTTCCGTCAAGTGTTTATGCCAAGTATTACTTTGACCTGCGCTCACTGTCAGAGACCAACAACCTGAGCTTCCCTCTGGAGCCTCTGAGCCGGGACAAAGCCCAGAGACTAGAGGTGAGCCACCACTCAATCCAGCTGTTTATCAATAACCACATTTATTTAGAAAGCCCTTTTTACATAAACAGCTGTCACAAAGTGATTTTATAGTAGCCCGGCCAAGACCGAAAGAGAAAGCAGAGGCTTTGCAATACAGGGTAGGCACTTTGTGTCAACTGCTGATCTGAAAATGGCTTTATAAATACATTTGATACATGTGTTGATGGCAGCTGGTCCTCTGAATAGTATTGGTTTAACACTTTAACTACATCTTCTACATCTTTTAGTCTATGCCTGAAGGCCAGTAACAATTCAATTCAAGCGATTAATCTGAGTTTGTTTATCGATTCATCATGGTTGTTGCTCCTGCAGGCGATCTCAAGGTTATGTGACGACAAGTACAAGGATGTCAGGAGAGCTGCCAAGAAGCGCTCAGCGAGTACGGACAATCTGGTCGGGATGCGATGGGTCCCTGCCATCCTCTCCTAACAACCACGAACATAGACCACACCTGAGATTGGGCCTGAGGCCAGCATGGGGACTTCTAGAGACCACAACTGAGACTGGGCCTGAGGCCAGCATGGGGACTTCCAGTCTCTACCTGGAGTAGAGTTGAACAATTCTGGTAACTTTCCCAAAATGCCTTGGTTTCCAGAAATCCTGATTGGAGGATTCCAGATTTCATGCTGATTCCTGGGAATTTTGGAAAAGTTACCGGAATTCTGCAAACCTAACCTGGATAGACACACCGACCTTGTCCCTGTCACAGATAGATGCCTTCACAGTGCCTCCGCTCCTGTAACAGAGAGTGAAGAGCTCTCTACAGGACTGGTAGTTCACTGACTGTTAAGAGTAAGAAAAATGAAAGCTTTCTTGTGATACAACATACTGATTGTTAAGAGAGCTCATGACATCACAGTTTCCTGTGGACAGAAGCAGACAGGCGACCATCAAGACCATCAGAAGTAGCCAGCCAACCATAACCGTGGCAACATTAGCTTTATGCATTGTAGCAGCAAACCAAGAGAGAAGTTGTCAGAAAACAGCATTCCAGTGACATCTGACCTCTTCTCCTGGGTCGTACCAAACGAAAGAAAAAGGACTGAAACGGGTGGACGACCTGAAGTTGTCCATTAAGAAACCATTTTGGTTTCGGTTGGAAAACATTTTGCTACGGTGTGCACTAATGAATACGACCATGGGTCCTGGACTGTCCAAGCTGGCGTGGCTCAACAGATGGTTGGTTGCCTTTGGAGATGGTTCTGTAGCTTTTGGTGAAAGGGTTTTTATTAATTTTGTATTCATAAGGTTGTTTTCACTGCCTACTGCTATAGCCGACCAAACCCAAGTACCTGCAGACAGTATTTGATCAGGTAAAAAAGCATTCTAGCTGCACAGGTGTTTCTACTGGAGATCTACATTCAAATTCCAGAAACATTTGTTCATAATTATTTAATTACCCAATTATTTTGTTCGTTCAAACAAGTTGACCATATTACTTTACTATCCACTGGGCAAAAACTGGTTGAATCAACTTTGTTTCCAGGTCATTTCAACAACCAAAAATCAATGTGATGACGTTGAATCAACGTGGAAAACTGATTGGATTTGCAAAAAGTAATCAACGTAAGGGAATGTTGTATTTTTTTCACTGAACTTTTAACATAAACTTTTAATGTAAATCAGAAATAGACGTTGAACTGACGTCTGTGCCCAGTGGGTACCTTTCCACTAGTATACCTCCCTAGTTACTGTACATCCTAATACTCAGAATGTTGTATTCAGATCTGCAGCTAAATTCATAATTGAATCTGGGTTTGGCGGATGCCAGCAGAACGCTACCTGCCCGAATGCATAGTGCCAACTGTTAAGTTTGGTGGGGGGGGGGGAATAATGGTCTGGGGCTGTTTTTTATGGTTCGGGCTAGGCCCCTTGTTCCAGTGAAGGTCAATCTTAACGCTACAGCATACAATGACATTCTAGACCAGGGGTGTCAAACTCATTTTAGCTCAGGGGCCACATGGAGGAAAATCTATTCCCAAGTGGGCCGGACCGGAAAAATCATGGTATATATAACTTAAAAACAACAACTTCAGATTGTTTTCTTTGTTCTAATACGATCAACATACAACATAAAGCTGGAGCCTGAGGACAGTGTGTCCAAAATAGTACAAGCACAACATCACTATTAATCATAAAACACGTCAAGTTTATTTGAAAATTCTAAAGAAAAAGAACACACAAACACACAATGCCTCAGTGATTAACAGAACTGTTTCACAGATCACAGAACTATATCAGGGTGTCATTTCTCAGGCAGAAATGTAGATAAAAATAATGAAATCCTGTTCCCCAAACAAGTGCAAGAACCACAGAGTCAAGAATAGGTTAAATATACAAATAAAATTAAATCAATTAAAAACAATAGCACATCAATATAAAAACATATAAACATAAAGCTGGAGCCTGAGGACAGTGTCCAAAAGCACAACATCACTATTAATCATAAAACACCTCAAGTTATTTGAAAGTTCTGAGGACAAAGAACACACAAACACACAATGCCTCAGTGATTAACAGAACTGTTTCACAGATCACAGAACTATATCAGGGTGTCATTTCTCAGGCAGAAATGTAGATACAAATAATGAAATCCTGTTCCCCAAACAAGTGCAAGAACCACAGAGTCAAGAATAGGTTAAATATACAAATAAAATAAAATCAATTAAAAACAATAGCACATCAACATAAAAACATATAAACATAAAGCTGGAGCCTGAGGACAGTGTCCAAAAGCACAACATCACTATTAATCATAAAACACCTCAAGTTATTTGAAAGTTCTGAGGACAAAGAACACACAAACCCACAATGCCTCAGTGATTCACAGAAGTATATCACAGATCACAGAACTATATCAGGGTGTCATTTCTCAGGCAGAAATGTAGATAAAAATAATGAAATCCTGTTCCCCAAACAAGTGCAAGAACCACAGAGTCAAGAATAGGTTAAATATACAAATAAAATAAAATCAATTAAAAACAATAGCACATCAACATAAAAACATATAAACATAAATCTGAAAGCGTTGCTCAAACTCCCGTAACAGTCCCGTTATTTTATCTTTGAACCGCTTCATGTCTGCCACATGTTGGGTCGCGCACACATTTTTCAGACAGGGGAAGTGAGCTGCATCACCACCGGCAAGTTGCGTCTCCCACAATGACAGCTTCAACTTGAAAGAACGTATGCTGTCATAATACTGCGTGACAACTTTGTTGCGCCCTTGCAGCTGTTTGTTATGTATTATTAAGTTATTCAGGTGCTCTGTAACATCCACCATAAATGCAAGGTCCTGCATCCATTCTGCGGAATGAAATTCTAACACTGGTTTGCCCTTTTCTTCCATGAACTGTTCCATTTCTTCTCGTAAATCAAAGAAACGCCTCAGCACAGCACCTCGGCTTAACCATCTTACCTCAGTGTGGTATGGCAGGCCATAGATGTGGTCTTTCTCTCTGAGAAGGCTGTCAAACTGACGGTGATTCAGGCTTCTGGATCGGATGAAATTAACAGTTTGGATGACCACCTTCATGACGTTATCCATCTTTAATGACTTGCAACACAAAGCCTCCTGGTGCAAAATACAGTGAAAAGTCAAAAAATCACGTCCTCCATTTGCAGATTGCACTTTCTCTCTGAACTTTGTCACAACGCCTGCTTTTTTCCCGATCATTGAGGGCGCACCATCTGTAGCCAGGCTGACAGCGCGGGACCAGTCCACTCCGACCCTGTCCAGCGCGCCGACGAGTGCGGTAAAAATATCAGCTGCTGTCGTTGTATCTGTCATCGGCACCAACTCCACGAACTCCTCGGTGACGGTCAATGTGTCATCAACTCCGCGGATGAAAATGGACAGTTGTGCAACATCTGTAATGTCTGTGCTTTCATCAATTGCAACCGAAAACGCAATAAATGACTTTACTTTTTGCTTCAACTGGCTGTCCAAATCCACTGAAAGATCTGAAATCCTGTCTGCAACTGTGTTTCTTGTCAGGCTGATATTTGCAAAAGCCTGCCGCTTTTCAGGGCACACAATCTCCGCTGCCTTCATCATGCATGTTTTTACAAATTCACCCTCACTAAATGGTTTTGAAGCCACTGCGATTTCATTAGCAATGAGGTAGCTAGCTTTCACTGCAGCGTCACTGATGTCTCGGCTGTGAGTAAACACAGACTGCTGTTTCTTCAGACCCGCCAACAGTTCATTCACCTTCTCTCATCTCCGCTGTCCTTGAAAGTTGTCATATTTGTCGGCATGAAGACTCACATAGTGGCGACGAAGGTTATATTCTTTCAGCACTGCAACATGCTCTGAACACACCAAACATACAGCTTTCCCATTCAATTCCGTGAATAAATAGGATGACCATTTTTCTTGGAACACTCTGCACTCTGCGTCCACTTTTCTCTTTTTTGACAGAGACATATTGGGGCAATGAGGGTGCCAAAGCACATAATGTTAAAAGTAGAAGCCGTAATAAATATCGCGGGCAAAACAAAGTAGCTCATTGGCTGCACGTGCTTGACCTACTTGCTCTGCCCCGGTATAAACAGTTTGCTTGCTTAACACAATTGCTATTGCGCCATCCAGTGGACGCAATTGGAACAGCAGTTTATTTTATAGAAAAATTGCAGCGCATTTTTATACTTTACAATTTATTTTTTTTATTTTTTTTTTTTTTTATTATATATATATTTTTTCTAAATCATCTCGCGGGCCGGATTAAACCCGTTTGCGGGCCTGATCCGGCCCGCGGGCCGTACGTTTGACACCCCTGTTCTAGACGATTCTGTGCTTCCAACATTGTGGCAACAGTTTGGGGAAGGCCCTTTCCGGTTTCAGCATGACAATGCCCCCGTGTACAAAGCGAGGTCCATACAGAAATGGTTTGTCGAGATCGGTGTGGAAGAACTTGACTGGCCCTGACCTCAACCCCATCGGACACCTTTAGGATGAATTGGAACGCCGACTGAGAGCCAGGCCTAATTGCCCAGCATCAGTGCCCGACCTAGCTAATGCTCTTGTGGCTGAATGGAAGCAAGTCCCCGCAGCAATGTTCCAACATCTAGTGGAAAGCCTTCCCAGAAGAGTGGAGGCTGTTATAGCAGCAAAGGGGGGACCAACTCAATATTAATGCCCATGATTTTGGAATGAGATGTTTGACGAATACGTGTCCACATACTTTTAGTGTATATGTGAGTGATTTAGCTGCTGTGATTCTGTCATCCACAGGATTCAAAGTAGGTTATGTTGACAAGAAGGCAACCAATGAAAGGATAGAAATGGGTTACCATACTTGATACACTGTGTGAAGCATGACTTGTGTTTTTTGTTTTAGAACTCTGGATGTTTTAAGCTACAATGTTTCTTTATTTTTTTAAGAACAAAAGCATGAACACTGAACCAACTTCTATATAACATAGCTCCTACAAACTTTATACAGTTTGATTTTGTCTTATAAATATTTCTTTTTGATTCAAATGTTAATATTGTTATATTCATGATGATCAACTTTTATTTGTGTTTTTATCATTTGTCAAGAAGACCTTACTGACAACTGAAGCACTAGAATTGTATTAATTATTTTGCAAATAAACTTTGTACAGTGTATAATCAAGTATTAAAGTGATGATGAGATCATTAACTTAATTTTGAAATATTTATATGGAGGCGTTGACCCATGTTTGTAATAAAAGAAAAGGCCCTTATTTTTTTATTTTGATTCATTTATTTTTGGGTGAAAACAATTTGTACAGTTTAAAACAGTTTAAAAGTAGAAATCCAAGAGGATATCACATCAAAGTGTTAAATACAAAGTGTTTGTCTGACTGTTGTATTAATTTATTTTTATATGTGGAGATCTTGTTAAAGACATAGTGATCATGTGCGTATGCTAATCACTAAATCACCATATTAGCAGTCTCTTTGTAGCCATTGTGGAATTGCGAGCTAGTTAGCTGTGTGCTAGAAGAGGGACAGAAGCCATACTGTTACATATCCAACATGTAGCAGCTGTCGTCTTGACGTGACCATTAAAATGGCTTCATGGAGAGGAAGTCTCGCGTTACCATACCCACAAATGTGCGTCCTAAATTGCACCCTAGTCCCTATGTAGTGCACTACTTTTGACTAGGGCCCATTCGGCTCGGGTAAAAAGCAGTGCACTATATAGGAAATAGGGTGCCATTTGGGATGCATCCCAAGTCTCAGTAATCACTCGGCTATTTCCGAACGAACATGAGGAAGCCTGGATATTGAGGTTAGTGGACAGGAGGCCAAGACCACCACCGTTTGGGCACAAAGCTACAATTCTCATTATTGTCCTATAACCTTTAACCTGGTAACCTCAATTCGAATAACATTCTATAATCACTATGCTTCTTTTAGTTCATTTAGACCCGACCAGTTGTCTTAGCTCAGTGTATGTTGTTGAAATATCCTAGCAATGCTTTGGGGGTAACATGATTTGGATGTGATAATAATAGCAGAGAGAGGCCCCTGCCTGGCATCACTGAGCTGGCATCACTTGAGAAAGATCTATAGTTTAGTGGACACACGCTCACACACACTCTGGGGAACTGAGAACTTACACTGGAGCCACTTCTCTACAATTAAATGAGATACTTGGATTTTAATTGGACTGAATTGAATCAAAGTGAATTGATTGAGTTGAACTGAACTGGATTGGATTGATTGGACTGAAATGGACCCTTGCTGAGTAGTCTGGATTGGATCAAGGTATACAGACAGGATCTCTATGGGATGAGCTGCTTGTTGTTTATATCATGGAGAAGACAGGCCTAATGGAAATACTCTTCATTACTTTCAATCACAACGTCACTTTTCTAGGTAGGTTTTCCTTTCCGCCATGTGGACATACTGTATGTTAATGGACCTGTAAATGCTGTATGTATGGGATAGTTAATGTTACTAACATAAAGCTTTTTTTCCATGAGTTTCTAACACTATAATCATGTTTGTTTTACTTTACTTGCAATGACTGTGATATGTGGTTGTCTTACCTACCTTAGTTGATTGCACTGACTGTAAGCTGCTCTGGAAAAGAGCATCTGCTAAATGACCTAAATGTAAATGGTTAAATGTGAGTGAATATTTAATTGATTTGCTGTTATTGCAGGGAAGACATGGTTGATCTTGATGGTGGTCCTGAGGTTACTCATCTTCCTGTTCTCTGGCTATCCTCTCTTCCGGGACGAGCAGGAGCGCTTTGTGTGCAACACCATCCAGCCAGGCTGCACCAACGTCTGCTTCGACGGCTTTGCTCCCCTCTCCCTCTTCCGCTTCTGGCTGTTCCAACTGATCATGCTCTGTCTCCCTCACATGATGTTCATCTCTTATATCATCCACAAAGTATCGTCAGCTCTTCGTATCGGGGGGAACTATTTATCTGGAAGCAGAAGTCAGGCCAGAGCAGGCTCTCTGTGCACCCCTCTACACGCTCTACCAAAAGGAACACCTAACTTTCTAAGTGTCTATCTTATGGATGTGATACTGCGGATTCTGCTGGAGGGAGCGTTCAGTGCCGGCCAGTACTACCTCTATGGCTTCTCTGTCCCCAGGAGCTTCCAGTGTTATGAATTCCCCTGTACGTCCATGGTGGAGTGTTACGTGTCCAGACCCACAGAGAAGACCATCATGCTCAACTTCATGCTGGGGGCTGCCTCCCTGTCTCTTCTACTGAACTTGGCAGATCTGGTGTGCTCTGTGCAACGGATGGTGACACAGAGGACCAGGAGAAAGGAGCTTGGGGGAGAGTTGAAGAAGGAGGGCAGACTGTTCATGAACAGTGGGGTTGGAGAGGACATGGAAGTCCTGTACAACCAGAACCACAGCACCCCCAAAACTGTCCTCAAGAGAGGACAAAGTTACATTGACAAACCAACCTCGAATGGTAACCCAAACGGTGACCTTTCACACAGAAGAGTCAGAATAAATGATGAGACTCGCGTTAGTGTGGCTGCCCCACCACTGCAGGGGAGCAGGCTGCCTCGGAGGCAACCGCCATTTCAGCCCATACCTATGGGGGCTCCATCAAGCGGTCACTTCGTTAATCCCAACCACATCTCCCGTTCATATTCCGTCCCTCTCTCCCGGCGGTTAGAGAGAGACCCAGTAGTAGTGTCACGCCAGTTTACCCCCTCACCAATGTACAGTGGTCGGAAGCATGGCAAGTACACCATGGTAGACGCAACACTCCTGGAGCAGCATTATGATAGCGCAGAGTCCCGTGATAGGCTCCTGGACGAAGTCAACCTGCAGGAAGCAAGGGGCTCCTCAAGCTCTTCCAGTGATTCTTCTTCCTCATCAGATGCTCAATAAAGTTAATTTTTATGTAGACCTATGTAATTCTATTCAAGGCCGCAACACAACAATGGGAGAGCTGTCTTTTTTAGTTCAACAACTTTGATGATTTACTCATTACTTACACTTGAATTATTTTCCCCCCAAAATGTAATAATAGGCTACATTGCATTTTGCTGTTGTGACTTTACACTTTCAGCTCTACAAACAGAATGTGTTCACTGTATGTGTTAGCTAACAGAATTAGAATGAGTGATTCAATTAATGCCAGTTAGTTGACCTTCAAGAACAATGATGGCCGCACTCAGCTGTTGTTCAGCTCACATGGTCTTTCATTGGGTTCACGAACAACAGTCACGACTTCCGCCGAGGCTGCCCCCCCTCCTGGTTCGGGCAGGCTTCGGCGTTCGTCGTCACCGGAGTACTAGCTACTGCCGATCCCATTCTCATCACTCCACTTGTCATGTCTTGTCAATCACACACACCTGGTGCTCATTCCCCTAATTAGTATGTGTATAAGTGTTCCCTCTGTTCCCCTTGTCTTTGTGAGTGATTGTTTTGTTGTGAGAGCATGTAGCTCGGTTGTCACTGTGTTATTGCCAAGGTGGATGTTTTCCCTTGTACAGTTTAGTTTGACGCTTGGGGCGTTTGATTTATGCAAACAGATTAAACTCTGGACTTCTGTATTTTACTTCCTGCGCCTGACTCCTTCTTTCACACCTCGTAACAGAATCACTCACCTGATCTTCCACTTGGTGGAACGAGCAAGCCCTGATCTTCTGGGCACACACGTCACCCTCCTCTGGTCATCCAGGTATCGGTCGTACAATGCGCTGCCTGACTGAGAAGTGCTGGTGGCCTACCTTGGCTAAGGACGTGAGGGTGTATGTTTCCTCATGCTCAGTGTGCGCCCAGAGTAAGGCACCTAGGCACCTCCACTCTGGTGGGGGGTTGTACTCCCCGATGTCAGGCAGAACCCCCGTCCCTGGGTCCGGATGGTTACTGTGGATCATGATCACCTTGGTGATGTCCACCTTGAGAAGAGAGAGGTTCAATCAGCACTTCATTTACTATAGATATTAGGGTGGCAAAATGTTGGATTTTTCCCAGTCGTCGGGTGAGGTTGTGTCTCTCTCTGGCGGGAGGTAAGCTTGGCTTATATGGCTTATATGGTGTCGAGTAACGCTTAAATCATGTATTTAGATTATAGTTAGGTATTGTAGGTAGTTATTGTAGGTAAGTATTGTATTCGGCTGAGCCCGGTGAAGCACGAGGCTAGCTAACCCATTACCTGAACTAGCTAGCGGGTAGCTACTGGTAACTATTAGCAACTGTGGATAGTTGTTTCACGCTTGAGAGTACCTGTAATTACGCCAGCTAGCTGCCTACCATTCAGCTGTTTTTCTAACCTCATTGTCTGAAGCGTTAACGTTAGGTAGTTAGTAGCTACTGTGCTCGAAATGTAGCTAGCTTGTTGCTACCTGGATAGCTACTAAACAATAGCTGGAACGACCTAGCGAACAGACGCGAACTGGCTGAGTCGATTCAGTGGCTAGCTTTGAACTTGGCTAGCTAACAGTAGCTGCTAGGGGTAAGTTATAACCTACATTTGTGTTTTGTTTTTACATACTGGTAACCAGAGTCGTTCAAGGGAATTCGGGACATGGGTGACTAGTTAACATTTAGCTTGGCTCTCTCTGTGTGTTGGTGCCGTGGGAGGAGGGTTTTTTTCGTTGGCAGAAAGCAATGGCTAGCTAGTATGCTAACTATTCTAGCTAACTAACTGGCTGAATAAGTTGACGACGGACTCGCTCAAGCTGTCGGGACTAACCCACAACGTTAGACACGGACACGAATGACCTGCTTGGCGTGTTGACACACTGGTGGTTTGTTGTGGCCGAGTATTGGTGCTAAACCGTGTTGTTGGAGGCTGGCATGCTAGCTGGCTGTGGCGTCATAGGATTCGGTGCCCTGGACGGTTTTCACAGAAGAATACTGTACCAAGTTAGCTAGCTGAATAAACTAAGTTAGTCTATTCCTAGAAAACATTGAACCGCTGTAGTTTACAACAATTATTGTTTCTGAGGTGGAAGTTGGGAGAGTTATATTTGGGTGTTTCAGTGAAACGTAAGTGAGGGGGCCCCGCTCTCTCGCTTTCCCAGATGTTTAGTTCATTTCATTCCGATCTCCTTTGCATTATTGTAGCCATTTTCTGTAGCCTGTCAACTATGCGTCTGTCTATCCCTGTTCTCTCCTCTCCGCACAGGTTATACAAACGTCTCACACCGCGTGGCTGCTGCCACTCTAACCTGGTGGTCCCTGCGCGCACGACCCACGTGGAGTTCCAGGTCTCCGGCAGCCTCTGGAACTGCCGTTCTGCGGCTAACAAGGCAGAGTTCATCTCAGCCTATGCTACCCTCCAGTCCCTCGACTTCTTGGCACTGACGGAAACATGGATTACCACTGAAAACACTGCTACTCCTACTGCTCTCTCCTCGTCTGACCATGTGTTCTCGCATACCCCGAGAGCATCTGGTCAGCGGGGTGGTGGCACAGGAATCCTCATCTCTCCCAAGTGGACATTCTCTCTTTTTCCCCTGACCCATCTGTCTATCTCCTCATTTGAATTCCATGCTGTCACAGTCACTAGCCCATTCAAGCTTAACATCCTTATCATTTATCGCCCTCCAGGTTCCCTTGGAGAGTTCATCAATGAGCTGGACGCCTTGATAAGTTCCTTTCCTGAGGATTGCTCACCCCTCACAGTTATGGGTGACTTTAACCTCCCTACATCTACCTTTGACTCATTTCTCTCTGCCTCCTTCTTTCCACTCCTCTCCTCTTTTGACCTCACCCTCTCACCGTCCCCCCCTACTCACAAGGCAGGCAATACGCTTGACCTCATCTTTACTAGATGCTGTTCTTCTACTAATCTCACTGCAACTCCCCTCCAAGTCTCCGACCACTACTTTGTAACCTTTTCTCTCTCGCTCTCCTCCAACACTACTCACTCTGCCCCTACTCAGATGGTAATGCGCCATCGCAACCTTCGCTCTCTCTCTCCCTCTACTCTCTCCTCTTCCATCCTATCATCTCTTCCCTCTGCTCAAGCTTTCTCCCTCCAATCTCCTGATTCTGCCTCCTCAACCCTCCTCTCCTCCCTTTCTGCATCCTTTGACTCTCTATGTCCCCTATCCTCCCGGCCGGCTCGGTCCTCCCCTCCTGCTCCTTGGCTTGACGACTCATTGCGAGCTCACAGAACAGGGCTCCGGGCAGCCGAGCGGAAATGGAGGAAAACTAGACTCCCTGCAGACCTGGCATCTTTTCACTCCCTCCTCTCTACATTTTCTTCCTCTGTTTCTGCCGCTAAAGCCACTTTCTACCACTCTAAATTCCAAGCATCTGCCTCTAACCCTAGGAAGCTCTTTGCCACCTTCTCCTCCCTGCTGAATCCTCCTTGTCCTTCTAGACCTGTCTGCTGCCTTTGATACTGTGAACCATCAGATCCTCCTCTCTACCCTCTCCGAGTTGGGCATCTCCGGCGCGGCTCACTCTTGGATTGCGTCCTACCTGACAGCTCGCTCCTACCAAGTGGCGTGGCGAGAATCTGTCTCCGCGCCACGTGCTCTCACCACTGGTGTCCCCCAGGGCTCAGTTCTAGGCCCTCTCCTATTCTCGCTATACACCAAGTCATTTGGCTCTGTCATATCCTCACATGGCCTCTCCTATCATTGCTACGCAGACGACACACAACTAATCTTCTCCTTTCCCCCTTCTGATAACCAGGTGGCGAATCGCATCTCTGCATGTCTGGCAGACATATCAGTGTGGATGATGGATCACCACCTCAAGCTGAACCTCGGCAAGACGGAGCTGCTCTTCCTCCCGGGGAAGGACTGCCCGTTCCATGATCTCGACATCACGGTTGACAACTCCGTTGTGTCCTCCTCCTAGAGTGCAAAGAGCCTTGGCGTGACCCTGGACAACACCCTGTCGTTTTCCGCTAACATCAACGCGGTGACCCGATCCTGTAGGTTCATGCTCTACAACATTCGGAGAGCACGACCCTGCCTTACACAGGAAGTGGCACAGGTCCTAATCCAGGCACTTGTCATCTCCCGTCTGGATTACTGCAACTCGCTGTTGGCTGGGCTCCCTGCCTGTGCCATTAAACCCCTACAACTCATCCAGAATGCCGCAGCCCGTCTGGTGTTCAACCTTCCCAAGTTCTCTCACGTCACCCCGCTCCTCCGCACACTCCACTGGCTTCCAGTTGAAGCTCGCATCTGCTACAAGACCATGGTGCTTGCCTACGGAGCTGTGAGGGGAACGGCACCTCCGTACCTTCAGACTCTGATCAGTCCCTACACCCAAACGAGTGCATTGCGTTCATCCACCTCTGGCCTGCTGGCCCCCCTACATCTGCGGAAGCACAGTTCCCGCTCAGCCCAGTCAAAACTGTTCGCTGCTCTGGCACCCCAATGGTGGAACAAGCTCCCTCACGACGCCAGGACAGCGGAGTCACTCACCACCTTCCGGAGACACTTGAAACCCCACCTCTTTAAGGAATTCCTGTGATAGGATAAAGTAATCCTTCTACCCCCCCTTACCCCACCCCCCCAAAAAATATATATATATTGTAAAGTGGTTATCCCACTGGCTATAAGGTGAATGCACCAATTTGTAAGTCGCTCTGGATAAGTGCGTCTGCTAAATGATGTAAATGTAAATGTAAGCTACAACCTTTACCAGTTCCACAACGACCATGGTCTCACCTGAGTATTGATTTTCTCACTGATCTTCCCACCTCCCAAGGTAACACCACGATCCTGGTCGTTGTGGACCGCTTTTCAAAGTCCTGCCGCCTCCTTCCTCTGCCCGGTCTCCCCACGGCCCTACAAACGTGTTTACTCACGTCTTCCGGCACTACGGGGTACCAGAGGATATAGTGTCCGTCAAGGTCCCCAGTTCACGTCTAGTGTCTGGAAGGCGTTCATGGAACATCTGGGGGTCTCGGT